AAATTGACTTATTGTGATTTTATTTCATATACAAGACATTTTTCATTCAATTTCGAAGGCATTAGTTTGGGGAACTCTTTTTTAAATATTAATTTTACTTTATATTAATAGTTATAACTACTTGATACATAATTTCCTAAGAGAATACTCAATATTATCATTTTTTAAAAGACTTGAAACTTTACAGAATGACATCATATTTGTGCCAATTTATTTTTAACGCTTTCTTGGTCTTAAAATGTTACGCCAGGTGATTTCTATGCCCGTACGCGAGGCTCGAGTGTCCAATTCGAAACCATTTTCTCGATTGCAAATTAAACAATGGTAGGATCAGTGCTCACTGAGCGTATCGACATGAGGCATATAATCTAAATTGCATTTGTCTGGTATGTAGGAATATTGCGTGGTACCCTTTAATTAGGCTGGGATCGGGGCTTGCAATTCAAGAATTTAACCTCATAAAAATGAAAACCCTCAATAGCGTTAGTACAATTTTCGAAGCGACAAGAGGCAGAAATAGCGATTGAGATTACCTAGCAGATAAACCTTGATAGAGTATGACTTGCAGTCAGGGGCATCTGGCAAACGATGAGATTCAGTGCGGAGACGTTCATATAAAGGAGTCGTTGTATAAAACGAATAAAATATGTCACCGATGAATTATTGAGCACTGTATCTCCAATATCGTTAGGCCCAAATCTATGCTTGAATGTGAATCATATTTTCGAAGCTGATCCCAAACCATAGTAACCCAACCAAATTTTCTGTCCGAAAACAGAGTGCAGGTTACATATCTAGAGTTCAAGTCGTCTTGAGCCCACACCTCACTCACGGTTTAATAAATTGGGTAAGCCGGTCGATTAATACCAAGAAGTGGATTTTAATTAAAATTGTTCAATTAAACTAAAGGCCGATATGCTTGTCAATGTAAAAACAAAGTAAAATAACACGGAATGCTTTGTATGAAAATTACATTGGCATAATTTGTGAGACTTCTTGTGTGTGGAAAGTGCCTTTAAATACGCTCCGCGATTCCCTTAAAGCAGTAGTACTAAAACTCTGTTAGCCGTGCCCCCTTTTTAGAATTTGTCTTGCGCCCCACCTCAAAAATAACTAGCTAACAATGAGCTACATATAACAGATAAAAAGACGAAAGTATGTTTTATTCAAAAAACACGTTGAACAAACCTGGATGTAATATACATATTGAAATAAATGAAAAGTTTCGAAAATGTAAATATCCGAAATGAAGCGGGCAAGATAAAATCTAACAAATAAAATTTATTTTTAATTAGCTCCACACCCCTCCAAAAATTGTCTACGTCATCTTGTGGGGGCCCAGTTTTAATGACAAAATTTCAGGAAATTAGGGTTACATTTTTGTTGGATTGGGTGGTTGGGCAATAGCAGTAACAGTAATTTGAGTTTCATTGAACTGTGGCTTATATCTGTGAATGATATGAATGGTATTCTCTGAGAGTGTTTTTTAATTTACAAAAAAAAATATCCACCACCAAGCGAAGAACTGAGCGCTCTTGAATATGCCAAACCGAGTCAATTTTTCGATTTGAATATATTCAGGCCCTGAAATAGGAGTCGTAAAAACACGTTAAACCACTACTAGATATCAGTAACTACTAGTGTTTTCAGCCTAATGATTGGAATAAACCTTAAGTGTTGCGTACGTTATTTATCTAAAAGTATGGTATATTACACATGCTGTGTCAAATACCAATTTGAGGTAGTCACTTGCTGACGGTTGTTATCCATCTTCATACTATCTATTACTCAATATCATTATATCTGTGATTAATATAATTGCTACCAGTATACTAAAAGGTTTCGTTATGATAGGATATAAAAACCTGATCAAGGTAAGATCGCACGAAACTAACACGGTACTCAAAGAAGCTTAATGATAAAATGTTTACAAATCAGGATTTCTCTTTATAATTTACTATGATAACGGCTAGTAATGTCAAACGTGCAGAAACGTTTTGAGGAGAGGAAAGTCGATAGATCTGCTTTATCATATAGACCAGGGCTTCCCAAACTTTTGAGCTCGCGGCCCCTTTTGATATATTAAAATTTTTCGCGGCCCTTGTTCACGCTAATAATGCTAAAAAGTTCAAAATATGCTTTTTGATATTTTATTGACACAGCCAATTCTTAACTTTTAAAAGAGCTACTCAATAACAAAAACATCTTTACTCAAATTATTCAATGTAATGGGTGCAAATCTTTCTTTCTTAACTCTGCCTAGTTTTTCTTTAAAATGCTCGAAACCCACTCATGTTCGATGAGATTCTCATGTTCTGAAAATTCGGTTTTCTGTAGATAAAGATTATTTCTACTTGGTTCAAAAAGCGTTGCGCACCCCATCTCCCTTGCGATTTCGTATTACTATTAAGCAGGCTTTTCTACCATGGCCCATTGAATTTGATTTCACTGACTGTTGTTAGATTTTGTTTGTTCGTTTATATAAAACTCAATGCAAAAAAGGTATTATATTGAAATGTATCAATACGTACGGTATTTTTCACGGGAAGTCGCAAAACTTGAGCATATTTCTGGAGGTCGTCACAATACAATTAAGTTCGAAAACTACTGAGTCCTCCTATAGTTGAAAGAAATCTATTTTTAAATTGTTAATAACCTATATGTAGCCGCTATTTTTAATGTAAACATGCTCTTAAATTTGTATCATATTTCGGTATTCATATTTCGTATATTAATCTCGTTATTCTCTACATCCCCCTAAAATGAGCTCCAGTGTTCAAAAGAAAATTGATGACAATGTCTTATTTTCGGGAAAACACGGTGTATTGACTCGGAATTGTGAATTGATCGTTTTACACTATTTTTAATGATTGTATTTAAAAATTAAGAGTCTGAAAAAGTGCAATAGATATAGCAGATTATAGAGAACCACGGCTTCTCGTCAGGTTACCAGTCTATCTCGTGTAAAGAAATAGTTAAGAAGAAAGAACAATAAATCTTTTGTACTCTTTTTGTTTTGCAGAAAGCTTGTGTTTAAGTTTAATATAGGTATATATAGTATGTGGAAGCGTGATGAATCAAGAGTATGGGTTCGCCCATCAGATGTTCGATACACCCAGGATTCAATTCTTCCATATTTTCAAAACGGAGATACAATACAAGATGTTGCGAGAAAAATTTTACAAAGAGAACTGAACTTTGATGACATACCACTTATAAAAATTATAGAAATGAATAACAAATTTTGGTCACTGGACAACAGAAGACTTCATTTGCTAAAATTACTTGAAAATCATAATTTTCTGAAACTTGTAAAGGTTCGTCTTGTGGACAAATCTAGATTGCCAAAAGAAAAGTTCACAACAAACAATGATGGAATTAGCATACGAATTCGCAGAGGATCGGATAATTTTATTGACAGATACAATCAGCCCAATGTAGACCGTGCCAGGTTCCATACGAGGTCTAACGAGTTTTCCATGAGTTCTAGTAGAAGTGGAGTTAAACTATGGAATGAAACACACTATTCCCCGCCACGAGTAAATCGTGAATCTCCACGCGGTCGTCAAACGCAATCTCAAGAACCGAGCGGGTTAGCTATATTCATTGCTCTGCTGTTTGTCATTTTGCTTTCTTTCTTGGCAATTTTCCTTGATAAAAAACCATAAAGAGTCATAAAAGGACTACATGAACTTTTACAATATACATAATTCATCGACCGATGCCAGATGATGTGAGGATAGGATGACTGAATCAAACGGTCGGAGTTGAAGTTTAGTCATCTTGGAGTCGGAAATCTACGAATCGTGTAAGATTTTTCCCAAGTTTTAGTTTTAAAACTTGATGAAGCGGAAAGTCAATTTCATCTCAAACTAAAATGCATAAAACACTAAAAAGAGTCGTTCATAAATTTGTTCTTTTTGTTCTTCGCTAACGTACGTATTCATAATTTTTTCATCCAAAAACCTTTTTACGTTTTGTGAAATATGCTAGTTAGATTGTTATGTATGTTATTCTATCAAAGAAGAAAGTTCATTTATGCCTAATTATTGTTTATATGTGTGAAATTCACATTGTCATAGAATATATAATGGAAGACAGGGGCGTAGCCAGGGTGGTTTTGGAGGTCGGAACCCTTCCCCCCCTTTTGAGATGTAAAAAATAAAAGCATCTTTCTGTATCACATAGCAATTTTTCGTAGCTTGAAATGCTTTTTAGGCCATCACAACTCACGAAAACACACTTTTTCCGGCGTTCGGTCGGACCCGCAAGCTGTTTCTATCTAACTTGGCAAATAGAAATTTCAGAATCCCCTAAAAAGATATGTCCGTTACTAGCATGGTATTTCATGAATCGACATCATGTTACATTTCAATTTTACATTCCAGTTTTGGGTAATATGATTGTCTTTCTTCATTTCAACAATTAAATTGTTGGGTAAATGTGCAGTTGTATTATAAAAATATAGTATGATGAAATTGTTTTTCGATCAATATATTTTGGGGAAAAGAGAGAGAAGTAAGAGGTGAGATAACGCTTAGCGCTATATGCCAACCGTAGAGCCGAACCAATTGCAGTGTTTTTGCTCATGTTAAGGTTGTTTGCGTCTGTTAGATCTATTTTTATTTGTTATGTATTAATGATTGTGGTTACCGTTAGCAAATAGATTTTATGATGATTATACACACAAGAAAGACAAAAATAGAAAAGAAGTAAAGCACTGCCATTATACTAATCAGGGAACAATAAAAATAAGCTATCGAAGTTATGTACTAGTAAATTTTTTTTATTTTGTATTCAATTCAAACGTCTGTTGTTCCATTTTTACAAATATATAATTCTAATTCAAATAAATAATAATGTATATATAATAAAAAAAATGTTACGAATGAATATGATGTAACACTCAAATTTAATTGTTGAATTGCCATACCAAGGTACTTTGGCTTTGGTATTAAATTCGAATCCTGCGGTATCCTTTCAGCTATCACAAAATCAGATCAGCTCAATTTCACCAAATTTATGCTAAATTTGAGCTCTTCAGCGTGCATTAGTGCGGATAAATCTGCTTTATCGCCAAAGGATAAACATTGCAGTCGCGTGACGAAACAACAACATCTCAAGCTATTAACAAAGATGAGAGGATTAAATGAATTAGTTATGTAATTTGGAAATCAGATTCACCCCTACACGCTTAGTCAATTCAAGCTTTTGTGTATTCATATACAGGGTGGTCGCTAGAAAATCAGAAAATTTGTCAAACAGCTGTTTATTTTTACAAAAGATAAATATTACAAAGTTTTTAAAAGCATATGTTATATTACACTCAGATGCTCAAAATGTCGTCCGTGCACTTCATAGAAGTGTCTTAATCTAAAAGTCCAAGCTCGTATAGCGTTTTGAAGGTTAACTTGTGAGATATCGTTCTATGCTCTTCCCAAGCTCGTTTTCAAATCATCATTTGTAAATATAAATAGCTGTGTTTGACAAATGTTTTATTTTTCTAGCGATCTCCCTTTTCCGTACAAGATCATAAACATACGTATTTGAATTCAAATTTTAGGCGTTTTCAAAAGATACTTGGTACCACTTGATTCATTTCATCGTATTTATAAACAAGAAAACATAAATTTGGCTATTTTATTTTAATCCAGAATTTCTGTTCCGTTACACATAAACCCGGTTCTTTCAACCAGCTCGGTGCTCAGATAATTCTCTACCAACTGATGCACGGCTTTCGTGTCCATATGTTTGAGCTTTTTTGCTTAGTATTCGATTAGTCGGTTTCATATATTGTGAGAAAAAACCCTTGACTTCACCTAGGCTCATTGATTTGCCTTTGCAAATCACTCCACCGAATTTAATCGATATGAAAAGTTAGTCTCCTTATAACCGTGTAATAAAACAAACGTCTTTTGAAAATCCAAATCAAATACCTTCCTAATGAATTCCAACGCCAGCAACTCTAATTGTTTAGTTCTAATTTAAAATTTGGAAATCAGTTGATATTTGTGAATGGAGAAAGTTTGAAAAATGTTGTTCTTGGCGTTGTTGGTGACTCTGCTGTATGCAACCACGCAAACACTTCTGTTTGAAAAAAATGTTAATTAGTAACAAAGAATATATTAGTTATATATAAACGATGAAAAAAACAAAGTACAACCTGTAATAATTTTTCTAACATTATTCAAACAAAGTTTTCAAATTTAAAAACATACAACTCACAGAATGTAATCACTATAATGCAAAACAATAACTCGTTGAACATTTTCCACTAAATAATCACATTCGAGATAACACTGTGTCCAATATACTGGCGTAAAATGCAGAATATCTTCGTTAGACTCCGATTATCGTAATCAGCAAGATATTCTAACAAAGGACGTATTGCTTATAATATTAAAACCTTACACAAACTGAGCCTATTGAACGTCCGTCGAAGTACTGCTACGTAATCGAGTATAAACTTTAGTTTGACACAGTTTATTTTATGAATTAAGACATTAGCTAAATAAAGTCCACACATTTGCAAGTATAGTACTCTAAAAGACATAAAAGGTCCTAATAACCTTATTCATTGGGTTGTTGAAGGCTCAAACACAATTATTTATACAAAGCAATATCATGGATAAATAATCGAAATTGGAATTTGGTATCAAACAACTTACTAAGTATAAGCCAAAACAAGCATGTGTTGAGTAACTATTTGAGATTGCGTTTAAAATAAGCAAGTAAGCTATTTACTCATGTCATAATACGAAATTATCATTTTTTATTCAAATTTGGGCGATCAACGCTTTTAATGCATTGGGCTATTATAAGCCCGCATAAAAATCTGCCAAGTATATTTAATGTAACGCAGTTAGTAATATTATATTGTAATGTTGTAATGTAATTATTATATAAGTAACCCACAATGAACAACTTATTCAGCAATGATATTTTTTCCTAAATTTCAATTCCGTGAATTTTAAAGAATATTTGTGTCCTTTCCAATGAAACCAATTTATTGCTTTTCCATACGGTGCTGCTCCTTTAACGTAAAGTCCGTTAAGATTCGACGCGTGGCAAGAATTATACCACCAGGCACCATTGTAAATACTAGCACAATTTGTGCCGTCGCTATCTCTGTCGAAATCTTTGGTAGAAAACTTCATATTATTGTGGTCAGCGAGAGAATCGCCTGCGTTGCCACTGTATTCACCAACGGTAAGTTTGTATCCTGTTGATTCATCACCCACGTTGAATGTTCTACAAAACAAAACAAGAGACACGACGTAAAAATGAAGTAGTGTAAAACTTTTACATTGTCAGTAGTCAGACTACCATATCGCTGAAATACAATTGCAACACGGTACCGCACGCCACACGGTGCCCAATTTTGAATTTTGATTTAGTCATCATAAAAAACTTTAAATTGAAAAACGAATCTCCTAGAACCCACAAAAATTGAGAAATACTGTATATAAAAGTAATCATTTACATAAATACAAAGCGATTCATATGTCAATATCGTGTCCAATAAGGCTTGTTCATCAAATTCACTGGTTCTAGAAGAACCAAGAAAACTAATTTACCCGTATTTAGCAAAACGTTTATTATTATCCCAATCCATCATATCAACACGCAGTTCATATTCTCCATAATTTGACAATTTGTGAAGATTGTTCAGACCTAAATATTAATGTACATTACGACCAGGGATGTCCAAAACAAATCGAATACTCCGACAGATTTGAAATTTGCTATATTCGGTAAAGTATACAGTCTATAATTCCATTGATTAACAAATATTTTAAATATTTTATTAATTTTTCTTGTGATCATTTCAGAATATATTCGATATTTCATATTCGAAAAAATTATCTTCGACGGTATTTGAAATAATAAATTATTCTGTTGCGACTTAAACATTTATCTATTCTGAGCATAGTAAATCTCTTTATCGTCAAACTCTTAACAAATCTAGACAAATTTAAATTACATTGCAGTTGGTGTCAATGCCAACGAAATTATCTTGTGCAAAATAATTGTCGTCCATCATTTCAGTTTTCAGAAGAAAAAAAAAATGAACTTTACAGTATTTATTTTTGATTCAATAATATTTATAGTGTAATATATAAATTTTTTTAAATTACGAACTCAACTAACCAATCCAGAACTCTTTGTCATTATCCCCAAACCCCGTAACATAATCATTCCAGTTTCGGAAAAAGTCGACAGATCCATCCTGACGTCGTTGAAAAACCTCATAGAAAGAGAAAGAGAGAGAGATTTTATTATTTCGTCAACCAAAAAATACAGTCATCAATAAAATAGCAAAAGCAAATAAAATTGTTTTGGTATGAACAGGAGGGAGCAATACGACCATACGGTCATTGAAGTCAGCTCCCACAGGTTGGTTGAAAGGTAATAAAACAAACTTTATCTCAATATCAATCTTATATATACTATACTACAATTTAAAAACGTGTTTACTGACATGGTTGATAAGATGAAAATCTCAAACAACTGTGATATTATTAGAGGTTACATATCTGGGATTCAAATCCCATGCCCATCTCGCTCGTGCATGGTATAATAAATTGGGTAGTCAATGCCCGAGGCGGAAAGATTCCGGTCCTTCCAAAAATAATAAAGAATAATTTAACATTTTTAGGAGGTAATTAAAACGTTAACTGTCTTGAAAATTTCCTAGGAAATCCCCGTCCTTTTTGCTGATCTGCGTAAGTGAAGTGTTTGGATTCAGTATATGAGCACTGTTACGTCTTAATGTAGTCGGTCATGTGGTTAGAAGAGGCAAAATACCAAAGCATCATTTTTAATTCAGTGTCATTCAACTGAAATGGGTAATTAGGATTATGGTAATTGAATTTAGAATTAACTATGTAAAACAGTTTGGGGAACCATCGGACTCTACTAAACGAAGGCATGAATAAGCTTTGTATACCATGCATGCGAGGTAATCAGTCAGTAGTTTAATGATTTGTGTTTCACTTTGGAATGTTTGCCTTCAGAGTTGCACAGGCTGTCACAAATGTTTAAAAATATACGGTCAAATTTCTTCTATGAAGTAAAGAAAATGAGTCGTATAAATAAGACAAAGTTTGGAAGAACCGTTTACAAGTCATATCAAACCAAATAAATATGGCGTTCTAAAATATTGCAATAGTTCATCAAAGAAAAGCTCAGCGAAACAAGAAATTTTTAACAATATACACTGCTTCGAACATACATATACTAATTGTAAATTAGAATATATTTGAATGAATCTCACTGTCCAGCTCCCATCATCAGGCCTGAAATCACAATACACTTCAAACTTTTCATCTGAGAACGGAAAATATATATCAAACTGTCCCCCTGAAGAATTCCAAGTTTTTGCTTTCGTCTTATGAACGCATTCACACCCACTTGGTACGAAATCTGTAAAACAAGGGGATGCTCTTTTAGATAGTGATTTATAGTAACTATGTTGGAACTCTGGTTGATGACCCATGCATTCTCATAATTTGAATAAAATTAAAAACTGTGACTTTACAATGACAATCGATTTTCTTTCAATAGTATTTTTAAAGATTTTTGTTAATGTTCGCTTTCCTTTTAATCATGGACAAGTCTAGCATATTTAATATTATTTAGTGTCTTTTTTTTTATTTGTGATTTTAACTATCACAGATCTGCAACCTTTTTTGTTTTTAAATGCTTTCTGACTCGTTTTACTAATAATGTAGAATATATATGTAAAGTGGAGAAAGCATTATTGAGCTCGGCTATGGTGACTAATTGCCAAGTTGAATCATCATATCATATACGGATAAAATAAACATACAGTTAGCATCTGGAGCTGGCATATCTTTTCCGTGTATTTCAGGATCCAGTGCTTTGAAATTCATTAATCCAATCACGCCGAATGAAAATAATGCAATGAGAAATGCATTACAGCAGAATGATCTGCCGTTGTTCGATATTTCTGCAAAACATGCAACGTGATAGGGAGAGGTGTCTAACACTGTCGAAATAAGTGGTCCTCAAACTTTTTAGGCCGTGCTCCCTTTTTTAAATTTGTCAAGTCTCGCACGCCACCTCAAATATAACTTGTTATCAATTAGCCACAAATAACAGACAGCATAGTGAAGGTGTGTTTAATTCGGGAAACACGTTAAAAATACGTGAATGGAATCGCAATCTTTAAACCATAAAGAAATGTAAATATCCAAACTAAGGTGGACAAGATCAAATCGAACGAATATTTTTCTTTTTAAATATACTCAAGGCCTTTCAAAAAATGTCTATTCCCGTATGTTGGGCGCGCCTCAACCCTTGAGAACCACTGGTCTAAATAAATCATCACATCGACCCGTGATTTAGTTTTACTATCAGGAATTTTTACACTTCTACTCGGAGCAGACTCAGTGAAAACCTCGTTCATTGATACCCAAGGAATTAATTTTTTTAAATTTATCTTTCAAGCACTGGCTATCAAGCTTAATTACATAGTTAAAAACAGAGCTAGGTCGTTGCAACCAATATTTTTCAAAACAAAAACAAATTGAGTCTTTAGAATACGATTAATTGTAGTATTTATTTATGAGTGACCACAAACAGGCGGTCTAATTTGACCCTTTCTTTTTAAATGAGCATGTCCTTTTCTTTATAATAAAATAATTGTGTGATGGGAACTGTCACTGCTACTTACTAATCTTTTTGTCGAGTTTTCTTAAAACAACATATTCAATAGTTTCGATAAGTTTTCTGTTTTCAATATTTTCATTGTTTTCTTCCATATTGTTGAGATCTGAAATTTAAAATTCCCAGGTTGATTTGCCATTGCTCTAATACATATCTAGATAGATTCATTAAATATATTATTTTACCAATAAATTAAGGGTTAGGAAATTGATACCACGCTTTAAAAACTTGAGAAAGAGCATCACACATCTTCGAAAAAAAAAAAATCGTCGACCTATAGCATGCTTGTAGTAAGACGACTGGTGTATGCTGATATTTCCTAAATGGGTGAATTATACAATTCGGAAAACTATGTCATAACATTACGCGGTATAAATAATTGCACTTAGCAAACGTTTCAAAAATAAGAAGAATAGTACATAAATGAGACATAAATGAAGTTTCGTTATCTGATAATATCTTTAAAAATACTTTACTAAATATAAAACAGAAAAGATCATAATTGCTATAAATAATAATTTTTTCCAATTTCTTACCCTTTTTCGACTTTTTTGCAACATTTAACTTCATGGCTGTTTCTATTTTCAACGTTTCACCTTGCCTTATGATAAATCCGAACCTGACCAAATCACCTAAAACGAGCTACAATTCTAATTACTTGTACAAAATACATGGACAGAGCTATCAAGTCCGTTCTATAAAAGAAAAGCGTCTTGGCAAAGCGTAGTGGTATTGTGATATTACTACTGACTGGATTTAATGTCATTTTGAAATATATTCAGCAAGTTACGTGAATTTTCATATCAAACGAAAAGTTCAAACTTTTCCTTCGAAGCTTTCCTTTGAACCCAATCATCTAAGCAAAAGATATAAATGTACATGAAGCAAAAGCCTCCCTCAGATTTAAAGCTTGTGTGGCGTACCAAAATTGATATCACCACTCAGGTTCTTTCTGCCAGCTTCTTGGACACTGAAGTTGCAATAGATGTCGATCACAAAATAATCTTCTTGCGGTTCCAACCACAGCAGAGTAACTAAGTTAACTAACTAGATTAATTATACACCTGTAAGAACTTAATACAACCAAATACTCCAATAAGAAATACAATAAACACATAAAAACATGAAAAACACAGTACAAATACCGTAGGATACATACGTAACACAAGATACGGAATTGGTCTATGACGTCACAGTCATGAACTATTTACTTATAATGGGATACTAAAAACCGGGTAAAACATACCTAGATATACATAAGAATAACTAGTATGACACTAAAGATACAACACAAATCCTATCTTATCGACAAACACGTAATATACATGGAAATACGCATAGAAATCACACAGGAAATAAACTGCGAAAATAGACTAGTTACGGAAGTGTTAAATACAAGCTAACTAGTGAACAGAGCTATGCCAAACTGGAGAAATAGTAAACCTGTACTACTAATATCATTTTACAACAAGAATTACACAGATTAACGGCACTAAACACTATAATAATAACCTAAAACACAGAGGAAATTCCACACTGCCGGCACTCTGACAAACCAGCTAAAAGAGAAAGTTACACAGTTGCTCACTAATGACTCAAGTGGTAAGAATAAATATGGGCATACAGAATAAAACAGAGTTATAGACGTGGTCGTCTCATTACTCCCCCCTTTTTCAGATGGGAAATTACAACGAAATTTTCCATCTTCAAAATTGAAAAACCATAAAAATGTGAAGAAACTGCAAAGAACTGTACACTCAAATGAAATGTATATCTAAAATCCAAACAATCAATTGTTAAAAGCACTATCACAGTCGAATCAAATGTAATCATCCAAATATCTAGGCCTTCGCCTAGTACGTTGGCCATTATCAGAGTTCGCATCAACTGTAACTTCTTCTGGTACAGTGTCTGGCCTTGAAGAGAAAGGTAATTCATCAAAAATATCATGAGCAGCCTGCTCATTATTTTCCATAATAGGTTCCACATCAGGTAAAATGTCAAATCCGGTTAAGTCAATGTCGTTGTCTTCTTCATCTTCATGAAGGTAAGGTCTCAGTTTGTCAACATGCACAATTCGAGAACGTGTTCCCGAATTCTTCTGAATCCTATACAAGTGATTAGGTAAACAGTCCACAATTCGATAAGGTCCAATCCAAGGAATACTCAGCTTACGATGCTTTGGTGGATAATAATACCACACCAATTCATCTCTCTGGAAAGTAAGTGGTTTAACACCCAAATCAAAATTTCGCTTTTGTCTGGTTGCAGCAGCATTTAGATGCTGCCTAGCATGAAGAAAAGCTTTTTCAGTTGCACAGGAAAACCATTCGACAAATTCAGTGTAACAAGGATGAGTTGATGACTCTGGTTTGCCAAACATAACATCAACAGGCATCTCGATTTCTCGTCCAAGCATTAACTTGTTCGGTGAATATCCTGTACTATCATGCACAGTGGAGCGATATGCCATACAAAGATATGGGAGATGGTCGTCCCAATCATTTCGATTCTCATTTACAAAAGCTTTCAACATCTGCTGTATGGTCCTGTTGAAACGTTCAACTTGTCCATCTGAACGAGGATGATATGGAGTTGTTCGAGTCTTTTGAATCCCGTACAATTGACACATTTCTGAAAATAATTTTGATTCAAAGTCTCTTCCTTGATCTGAGTGGAGAATTCTTGGTACCCCAAATCTCGAAAAGAATTGAGTAACCAATGCATCAGCAGTGGTGTCAGCTCGCTGATTTGGTAAAGCAAAACATTCCACCCATTTAGAGAAATAGTCCGACAAAACCAAAATGTGTTCATTTCCATTTTCAGTTACAGGCAATGGTCCAAGAAAATCAATGGCAATCCTTTCCATAGGAGCTCCAGATATAAGTTGTTTTAAATCTCCCTGTCTTCTTCCGTAAAGCATCTTTGTTGAAGCACAAGACTTGCAAAATTTGCACCATTTCAGAATGTCCCTTTTGAAACCAGGCCAATAAAATCTGCGCCTTATACTCTTGAAAGTTCGATTAGCACCAAGATGACCTGCAGTGCGCAAAGAATGGAGCTTATGAAACAAGTCCTGCCTCAAATTTGATGGAACAATCAATTGGATATGCGATTCCTCCGATTTACAATCAGGAATCCAACGACGATAGAGAAGTCCATTATCTACAAAAATCAAGTCCCACTGCGACATTAAACGTTTGGTCACTGTTGATTCAGACATGTATTCTTGAATATCAGGTTTCTGAGCAGTAAGTTGTTTCCATTTCAAAACAACAGAAATATCTGGATCTTCACTTTGCCAATATTTAATTTGCTCATCCGTGTAGGTATTTAGCCAATTACAATCGGAACCGTCTGACGATGATTGACCGGGCTGTTTTGATATTGCACTTACAATAACATTACTCACAGCCACATCACCATTGGTACCACAATCAGAACAATCTTCTCGCTTGCATTTGCGAACTTGGCGTGACAATCCATCAGCATTGCCATGTTTCACGCCAGGTCTGTGTTCAATCTTAAAGTCATAAGCGCCAAGTGTTAATATCCATCTTGCTAACATTCCTTGAGGTTCACGAAAATTGATCAACCATTTCAGAGCAGCATGATCTGTGCGAATTCTGAACGGTCTCCCGAGAAGAAAATGACTGAAGTGACGAACAGCCCACACCACAGCTAATAGTTCCCGGTGTGTAGCACAGTATCTACGTTGAGACTTGGACATAGTCTTACTGGCATAAGAAAGTACACGTTCATTGTCGTCCTGAACTTGAGATAACACTGCACCAATCCCAAAACCACTGGCATCAGTATCCAATACAAATTCGCCGATTGTCCTCGGAAAGCTAAGAATTGGGGCAGATGTCAGACAATGCTTCAAAGTTTCAAAAGCCTTTTGACATTCAGTACTCCATACAAAAGAAATATTCTTCCTGGTCAATCGAATAAGAGGTCCAGCAATTGTTGAATAATCTTGAAAAAATTTCCGGTAGTAGTTCGCTGTGCCTAGAAAACTACGAATATCGCTGACAGAATTAGGCGTTTTCCATTCTTTGATAGCCGCAACATTTCCAGGGTCGCAACAGACACCGTCAGATGAAATAAGATAACCAAGATAAGAGGTGCTTCGACGGAAAAGTTTACATTTCGAGGGCTTCAAGCGTAAACCGGCACGGCGAAGTCTTATAAAAACTTCCCGAAGATTTGAGAGTGCCATTGAGAAATCACTACCATGAGCCAAAACATCATCAAGGAAATTGAAACACCCGTTCCACAGGAGATCACCAAGGATATTGTCCATCATCCGTTCGAATGTTGCGGGAGCATTCGCCAAACCGAAAGGCATCACTACAAAGTGGAAATGACCACGGCCTGGGATGCTGAATGCTGTCTTTTCAAGGTCTGCAGGATCAACCTCCACTTGCCAATATCCGCTAGCGAGATCAAGAGTTGAGAACCATTGTGCTCCGTTTAAGGACTCAATGATATCCTCAATACGCGGCAAGGGATATGCGTCCTTGTATGTGACGTCATTAAGCAATCTAAAATCCACGCAAAATCTGGTAGAACCATCCTTTTTGGGAACTAGGACAATGGGAGAAGAATATGGGGAATCGCTGGGTTCTATGACACCCTGAGCCAGCATATTATCAACAGCTTCTTCGGCTATCTTCCTACGCGCCCACCCCATTCGACGAGGAGCCTGCCGAATCGGCTGTGGTGTGGTTGTGATGATCCTATGCTTTGCTGCTGAAGTACGGCCAAGTTCACCATCTGGTCCTACAAATACATCATGGAATTCACAAATCAAGTTGACCAACTGTTCACGTTGACTCGGGGTTAGATCCTCAACGGAATTGACCATGTCATGTAGATGTTCTGGTAATTCAGAAGCTATAACCCGATTATCGGATTCGTCAACTTGAATTTGTGCTACAAGTTGAGGATGTGCAATACCAATCAAAGATCCAGCCCTGATCCTAAGTTGTCTGCCTTTTTGGTTCACCGCTAGAACAGGAACAGTGGACTTTCCTGGATCCACTACAGAAGAAATCAGCTGAACGCCATCAACAAGGAAAGAAGAATTCAGCGGTTCAACAAGAGCAGCAACGTCAGACAAATTACTTTTCGGCCAAGGACGACTAAGTTGTGCAGGAATAACAACCTTAGAATATGGCGGTATAGTAATATCTTCTCGAACAGTTACACGACAACACGGTACAGACTTTTCAGTAAACAGTTTGATTTCATGACCCTCTATCATCATGTGTCCAGATGATAAGTAAAGAACGCAATCATGTTCTCGGAGATAGTCCATGCCCAAAATACCATTAGTCATGCCTAGGTTGGCAACAATCACAGTGCGTCGTGATACAAACGAATCAATAGACAAATCAACTTCCAATGTACCCAGTGGTGATAAATCATGTCCTCCCACTGCAACAAGAGATTCTTCGAGCGGTGCTAAATGTGCTTCTTTCCCACCTATAGCCTCAAAGATGGAAATGTCAATCAGAGTAATCATAGCACCACTATCTACAAGAAAATTGAACGGTTGATTGTTTACAAGTACCTTCGCATGCCAACTATTGTCATATTGCAAGGAACAAATATTCAGGTCTATATTCTGGTTCGTTGGTCCGTCATCAAGTAATAATTCAGCGGACACTGAGGACCTCAAGCCCGCTGAGTGTCGTTTAAATTTGCGGTCGAAGAGGAAGCAGCTGTTGCAGGATCAGCGGGATTCTGAAGATGTGGACAATCCCGTTTAAGATGACCAGTCTGCTTGCAATTAAAACATGCCTTGCAATCCCTGCCCCAATGACCATGTTTACCACATCGAGGACACGGGTTGCGTGGTACACCATCACAATTGCGATTGTTGTTAGCGCGTGGCTTAACATATCCTATGATCTCATCCAGTTTTGCTACAAGTCGCTCAAAACTGCTCTCGAGAAACTGAAAAAGGTCGGTTTGCTGATTAGCTGCATCACCAGTGTTACTCTGTTTCACTGCGGCAATGCGAGGTTTAGGCATGTCTCTTCTCTCAGAGTGGTTAGTATCAACAGAGTAATACAGTGTTGCAAGAGACAGTGCACTTTCAAAAGTATCAGGCTGTTGCATGGTAACATGTTTGATCATGCTTTCATCGGTTAAACCGGCGAGAAACTGCGATTTCAAAATATCATCTTGACCAGCAATATCAAGATTTGGGTAAGCAAGAATAACAAGCTCTTTCAATTTGTTACCATAATCCCGTGGCGCTTCATTTGGCTTAATCCTACGACAATGAAATGTAGTACGATATGAGCTCGCATTTCCGGCAGGTTTGAAATAATGATTAAAATGAGCCACAATATCACGATAGCTAGTACGTTTCATATCTGGTAAATCTTTCAACACATTTAGAGCTTGACCTGTCATGCAAGTAGCCAATTCTAATCCTGCAGTGTCGTCATCCCACTGATTATAACTGGTAACCAATTCAAAATGGCATAAATAACTGGGCCATGTCATGACAGTGGATCCATCGAAATACATTGGCTTTTTGGCATTTCTTGCCATCATCGTAGCATTAGCTGTGCTATTGAGAACACTACGGCTGACATTGGCATTTGAGACACTACTAGCGCTCACTGGAGGAGCTGATTGTGTAGCCACTGTAACCATTTTCGGCCTAGTACTAAGTTGCCTTCTGACATTTGTGCCCTCATTACCATTATCATTCAAAAAAGGAATTGTAGGTGCAAGGTTACTCACATGACCATTCTCCAAAAATTTCACTTCTAATGTCTGTGAGAACGCGTTCCGCTTCCCTTCTGGCTGTCCATCTTCTGATCCAAAATCAGAAATTTCATCATGCTTGAGAACAGGCGCTGCTTTTGGAACAACCGTTGCGGGTGTTGAAGTGATCAAGCTGACATCTGGGACATGTGACATGGGCTGCGTTTCTTCAGAATCAGCAACTTTTCCTGTTTTAACCACGCCAGAAATATCTTGCAGCATGTTGTAAACATGTTCAAAAGATGAGCCAATTTTCGCATTCTGGAGTTCAACTGATTCTAGTTGACTTCCAATCTGTTGCACACGACTGTCTATCAGTTGCAAACGGCTGTCAGTCTCCTCTTGCTTTTCCAACATTTCCTCTTGTTTTTCTTCTGATTCCTTCAGTTTTGCCTTTAATATCTGTATTTGCAGATGCAAAAGTTCATTCTCCTTTGCTTCCTTTGGTGCCGGTACAATCTTTCTTCTCTTAACCATCTTTCCAAGATATCAGGCAACCGCAATTAAAAAAAAATTCGGCAACCTCAAATGTCCAATATTGTCCAAATATTATCCGTCACAGACAAGCCTACTTAATCGGCTTAGTCTTAATAGTCCTTGTGTCAAATAATATATCCTGGCGTGTGCTCGCCAAAAATTCGTATATGTGGCGTACCAAAATTGATATCACCACTCAGGTTCTTTCTGCCAGCTTCTTGGACACTGAAGTTGCAATAGATGTCGATCACAAAATAATCTTCTTGCGGTTCCAACCACAGCAGAGTAACTAAGTTAACTAACTAGATTAATTATACACCTGTAAGAACTTAATACAACCAAATACTCCAATAAGAAATACAATAAACACATAAAAACATGAAAAACACAGTACAAATACCGTAGGATACATACGTAACACAAGATACGGAATTGGTCTATGACGTCACAGTCATGAACTATTTACTTATAATGGGATACTAAAAACCGGGTAAAACATACCTAGATATACATAAGAATAACTAGTATGACACTAAAGATACAACACAAATCCTATCTTATCGACAAACACGTAATATACATGGAAATACGCATAGAAATCACACAGGAAATAAACTGCGAAAATAGACTAGTTACGGAAGTGTTAAATACAAGCTAACTAGTGAACAGAGCTATGCCAAACTGGAGAAATAGTAAACCTGTACTACTAATATCATTTTACAACAAGAATTACACAGATTAACGGCACTAAACACTATAATAATAACCTAAAACACAGAGGAAATTCCACACTGCCGGCACTCTGACAAACCAGCTAAAAGAGAAAGTTACACAGTTGCTCACTAATGACTCAAGTGGTAAGAATAAATATGGGCATACAGAATAAAACAGAGTTATAGACGTGGTCGTCTCACTTGCGTTTGACTAAGCATGTAAGGGTGAATATGATTGGATATACATCGATATGTTATTTCATTTGCTTAACTTTGTTAATAACTCGAGATCTTGTTACTTCGTAGCGTCGCGAGATTCAAACAATAGTTTAGTCGAATTGCGATTGAAATGTATACCCCTCGTGCTAAAGCATATTTACACGCACTAATGCACATAGCAGAGTTTATTTGAACAGAAATTTGTTAAAATTACGGAAACCTAATTTTTGAGATGGCTAGGGTACTTTAGGACTCACTTTGAATAATGAATATAAAAAGCAATAGGAACACATTATGATTGAAACTATCAAATTATTCCAACTCTTATTTCGTACTCTAATTAATTGATAATACAAAAATAAAACAATCATGATTGCTAACTATTCGCCCTCAAGTATGAATTATTTGCGTAGATATCTGAATAAATTAAATGGTCTTTTTGCCTTTTGTATCTGGGGGACAATCTCGGCATTACTATAGCGTGAGATCTATTCCAAACCCTTACCAGGGTAAGGGTTAGCATCTGGCGCTCCATCTTTTATACGGCTTGGTCTCGGAGACTCGAAAAACTTCAGACTGTATCTGGATAAGCGTCCTATGGCATCAAGCTCACTGCATTTTTATTATATACCATTATAGGGCAGTGATTCCTCCCTCTCAACGCATAAAATGTACATTTTTTATTCAATCTTTATTGGATTCTAAGCTATAGTGCTATGCACAAGTCGCACCTCGTCTTCAGGGTGGCCCAAAAGTAGGTATACAGTTATTAAAAGTAGGGTTTAGGTCCAAAAGTAGGTTTGTAGTTCTCATTTAGGCACTTTTAAAGTTCAAGAATGCTAGCTATATCGTAGACAGAATTTGTTTAATCTCTTAAGTGCTCAAAATGTCCTCCTCAAACATTGCAACATTCTTCACACCTGTCCAAAACACTCTGACACACAGTACGGCACAAATTTAGATCTTCATCAATTTTTCTGAATGCGTCAATAATGAAATCTTTTAATTTATTTATTGTTTTGGGATTCTTCTCATACACCTTATTCTTTACAACACCCACAAAAAAGAAATCCATTGTGTCTATTCTTGCCATGCCCTACACTCTAAATGAAAAAAGTGGTGATTCCCACCGAAATATTTGGTTCACAAGGTTTTCTACTTTTTCCACCCTTTGGGTAGGTGTTTAACATTTCCACCCTGACAACCCCACCCAAATCGATAGGAAGACCAACCTTCTTGCAAGCCTGGAAACGTACTATAACCACCCAACGGAAGCATGAAACCACGACAGGTTTTCAAGATTTAAACAATTTATTAAAACAGTAAATATTCGTCGAAATTGACTACTAAATGTCGCAAATAAACACAGTCGTAATGAGAAAATCAAGTTACGCCTTTTTGTTTTTTGAATGGGAATTCTTCATTTGGCAGAAGCAGTAGGTATGCTGTGATGAATGGCATTTGTGGTACTTGTAGATTGAAAATCCTGTAACAAGAGTCCATCACTGCCATTGCTTTTGTGTAATTAAAGTTTCCATTCGAACTGTGATCTAGTGGTGATAATCCAGAGTTCATCATTGAAATGGACTTACAATCTAAAAATACAAAAAAAAAAGATAAGATGAGTGTGTCTTTTGCAGTAGAAAAAGGGTCGCATGTTCGAACATATTCAATGAAAATGTTTCCAACTGAATTGGAGTCCTTGTACTGGACAAGTAATTTATGATAGTAATTTATAAAAGTGGTGAACAACACAGACTAGCTATTTTTTTCAGTTTGTCTTCTTCCCAAGGTCATATTGAAATAGACGAATTTTACTAAACTAAGTTATATCCCAACCCACTAGGGCTAGACATAAGTAATAAGTATTGGTTCTAACTTTTCATGATTTTAAAGCATAGACCAGGGGTGGGCAAACCGCGGCTCGCGAGCCACATGCGGCTTGCCAGACTTTTTGTGCGGCTCTTCTCGCTAACATAAATTATTATCCAAATTTCAACTAAGAGAAAAACTTCAAGGTAAACTCTTTTAATTTATTAAAAGTCGTAAAGAAGTTTTCGTCAATGATTAGGACAAATTATGTTTTAGTATGAAAATTGCTGTAGCGTTGAATTTTGAATTTAAGTCAGTCAAGTCAGCAAATCTTTAGTCACAATGGTCATGCATCGGCGATATTGCAGCTTGATTGCGGTTAGTTAGTCTAACTAAGTTACTGTGCGATATGTCCTCAATTAAAAACAAAAGTACGAAGATGAAAACAGAGTTGTCAAGTGAGAATGGGAAGAACGTACGAATTTACCAGTCAGAAGAATAAACTTTTGTGCTTAATCTGTCATAAGCTACTAAGTCAGAATAAAGTCAGCAATGTTAAACGGCACCATGAAACGAATCATGAAAACTTCTTACGAGACTACCCTCCTAAATCAGCTATAAGGAAACACAAATTAAATGAACTTAAATTGTGCATATATTTGAGTATAGCTGCCTTGTTTATCTATTTATTGTTATTAGACTCTTGTGTGAATTTCTTTTCTGTTCATGGTATTTTGATAATATTAATAAATTCATAAATTCTGCGGCTCTTTCAAAGTTCTGACTTACAGCATGCGGCTTTATACTGAAAAATTGTGCCCACCCCTGGCATAGACTATAGAGTGATATCATCATACATCTACATATAGGCTATATAGAGTCAAAAATTCAACAATATGTTTGTAATGGTGACACTATTTCATTCATTCTCAACACTGTATTTTACACCCAAATACAACGCACTAGATTTAAAAACATGTACCATTATTAGACTTGCATATATTAATTGTACAAAATAAAAAGACCTACCTATCAGTTGTTCACTGCTCATCTGCTATATTTCGCCCATTTAGTTCCTCTGTTATTAGCTACTTGTGAGTTCCAATACTGTGATCATCTTCATTTTCAAGAAAATCAACATCCTGAATAGAAAGTTATTTTCAACAAAATGTTTGTAATGGTGACATTATTTTATTCATTTTCGCACTGTATTTTACACCCAAATACAACACACTAGATTTAAAAACATGTACCAATATCAGACTTGTATATTATATTTATTGCACAAAATAACAAGACTCACCTATGAGTTGTTCACTGCAGCACTGCTCATCTGCTATATTTCTCACATTTAGTTACTCTGTTATTATCTACTTGTAAGTCCCAATACTGTGATCATCTTCATTTTCAAGAATATCAACATTCTGAATAGAAAGTTATGTGCTCAGTAGGCTACTAACAAAATGTATGATAGCTGTTAAAATTGTGTAATTCCAAGTTAAGCACAGAAGAAAAATAAATTGTTCCGGTCGACCCACTAAACATGTTATAAACAGATAAATAAGTCCAATAGCCTGTACACAGATATGTCAGAATCCTTTTGGCAAGTTTGGCAAATCAAAATTAGTTGTTAGCTCCCGTTACTGGTACAAAGTTCAGAAGTTAGACTCGCAATATAAGTTACTGATAACGTTATATTTCTGTATTTATATAGTCTTATCGGATCTCCTGAAGTATACGCCGCAAGTACTTCTAGTTCAGTAGTTGGCCTGGCTCAACAATATTTGCATATGTAATTTCTAACCCCCACCTGACTACGTCAACCAAAAATTACATCACTGCGAAGTCGCAACAACGCAATGACGTAATACGGCACTCCAAAGTATACGGATGGGTGCACAGACAATCATCCGAAGTCGAGCAAGCTATTTTTTTGTCGTCGAAACAATAGCGATACAGCCATACTGCCATAAGAGATAGATCGCTGCACAGATGCAATTTTGGACGATCGTAACTATACTTTACAGCTTTAGCAAGCTCTATGACGCGTTAGTGATGCAATTTCCAGATGACGTAGTTATGTGGGGGTTAGAAATTAGATATGCAAAAACTGTTGAGCCAGGTCAACTAGAAGTACTTGCGGCACGTATTTCAGGAGAACCATCTTATCTAGTACTGGTCAGTGGTCACTTAACGTTAGCAAACAAAGCTTGACAAGATCTGGAGTTTGGCAAATCAAAAGTCTGAAAGTAGACTAGTTGAGATAGAATACCGTAGCTCACGTTACTGGTACGAAGTTCAGAAGTTACGACTCGCGATATAAGTTACCGTACTGATAACGTTAAATTTTACCGATATAGTCTTATCTAGTACCGGTACTGGTCAATTAACGTTAGGCTTGACTGGCAACGTTAGCTGACCGAAAATTTCCCAAATGTAATCTGAATCCACATGAACACTGTAATAGTAGAAGTGGATTGACTGATCGATTTTTTATTTATGGCTAGATTAAGGTACCGTACCGGTACCGGTACTATAATTTCGCGTTTGTTTATCAGCATCAACTTAATAATTCGAAATCTTACCTGTACCAGCAAGCTTAAACCTCCAGACCTCTCCACACAATGTAAGTTTTCCACATATTGCAGCTTGAGGCAAGTTCAGCACAAATTGTGCCCACCCACTTATTCTATCTATTGAAAATTGGAGTCGAATACCCCACACAGTCTGTTATGCACAGAGTTTCATCAAAGCCTCGGCAGAGTGATAAGTCAAGTCAGCGCGCATAAAAATATTCGAAACGATTTCAGCCAATAGCGTCAAGCCTTCTCACACAGTCACCTCGACATCACGTGACATGACGCGTTCATGCATTTCCGCCAAGTTTAGTGGAGAAAATGTTTGGTAGATAGATAATGATTTATTTCCGATACAAGTACATAATACAATAAGCATGAGCAAATAACAATAAGCATAAAAATGTATACGGAAGGGGACGGGCAAGACTTCCAAGGTCAACAAGGTCGACCGACCCCTAAGGTAAGATTCTACCAAGACAGGACACTCTAAAGCAGGCATCATAATTACAATAGAAGAAATATAAATTTTCGAGTTTTAAGCCCGGTTAAGAGGCCCCAGAAATCAATTCCCCGAAAGTATTGGAATAGAAATAAAAATTACAAGGAACAAGAACATCACATGATTACGCAGATCATGTTTTTAATAGTAATTAAAAATGCGAGAAAGAATAAGAAGGGCGTCGGGCTAATGAGAATGAGGCAATTTCTATGAATAGGTGAAAAATTAAAAATACCATACTTCCCAAGCTATATAGTACATATAATTATTATTTCAGACTATATATAATAGTATCTTCAATAATTTTCACAAAGACATATGAAGAATCCATATATAAGATTGTGAATTCCTATCCATTTTATAAATCTGATAGCATACACTGAGATTTGCATGATATTGCATCATATTATGATCCGCTGAAATGCTGTTTTAATTTGCAAATAGGGTGGTATCAATCAAAGATTGAAAATTACAAGAAAAAAGAACATCGCATGATTATGCAGGTTATACTTTTTTTTAATAGTAAATAAAATGCGAAAAGAAGTGAAAAATTAAGAAGGGCGTAAGCCTAATTATAATTTCCTCAAATTTAATTTTACTTTATGTTCGACAAAAATCAAATAGTGAAAATGAGGAAATGAGGCAGTTTCTATGAATGGGTGAAAAATTTAAAATACCATATTTCCAAAGCTATATAGTACATATGAACACTTCAGACTATATATAATAGTATCTTCAATAATTTTCACAGAGACATACATACATGGTAACACGCCCTGTGAGTGCATTAACACCGTGTATATAAAATAGTATCTTCAATAATAGTATCTTCAACAATAGTATCTTCAATAATATCTTCAGTAATAGTATCTTCAATAATTTTCACAGAGACATACATACATGGTAACACGCCCTGTGAGTGCATTAACACCGTGTATATAAAATTATTCAACGAAATAGGGCGGAAAATTTATCACTACACCCCAATGAAGGGGGTGGAAATGGCAAATATCCTCTTTTTCTGTTAAGAGTGTACGTACAGTCTCAGCAGCATTTTCATACTTCCAATATTCCTTCAATATCCATTTTCTATGCTCTTCATTTAAATTATTCGCCATTAACCCTCAAATAAAATAAAGATTTACAAAATGTTTTACCTTCAAAGCATATAAAATAGTTGAATACCTGTATACCTATTTTTGGGCCACCCGTTTATAATGTGTGCATAAAAAGCATTATAGTTACAATAAAGAACTAATAAATATTAGTAATACCACATAAAATGCAAAGCTAAATACTCTCCAAGAACGACAAAATTCTCCCCCGGTTGGGAAATGTTACTATAAGGAATTCAGTCACACATTTGCACAATTTCGGGCGTAAAATCCTTCCATACTTATATTGTAATAATTCGATAATCGCGATTAGCCCTACTACTGAATCTATTTTCAAATATTCATGTACACTGGAGCAATAGGAGGTTATATTTTATATTTGGTATTATTGATGTTCCCGTGCCGCATGGAAAACGACAAATGTTTGCACGCATGTACATTTTCACCCACGTACATTTGCACCCAAGAACATTTTCACTCATGGAAATTTACACCCACGCACATTTGAACCCACGGATGTTTGTGTAAATGATTACGGGTGCAATATTCCATGGGTGCAAGTGTCCATGAATGCGAATATCTGTGTGTGCAAATATTCATGGGTTCGAATGTAAGCTGGTACAATTGTACGTGGGAGCAAATGTACGTGGGAGCAAATGTACGCGGGTGCAAATGTACGCGAGTGCAGATGTGCGCGGGTGCAAATGTATGCGGATGCAAATGTGCGGATGTGTAAATGTCTGCGGGTGCCAAAGTCCGCGGGTACAATTGTACTGGATGCCAACGTCCGAGGGTGTAAATGTACGTGGGTGCAATGCAAATGTCCACGGATGCAAATGTCTGTCGGTGCAAATGTCTGCGACGTTCCATGTGCGGAGACGGAAGACAATAATTGCGTGATAAACAAGTAAAAATCTCGATTGTTTTGACCTTGAGACCAATACATACATTTGAGACCAAGTACAACTGCATAATTTAAATCGATGACTAAGCTATTCTGATAAATTTTTACTTGGGTTTTCTATGGAACAGAATAAAAACATATGTTACATTGAAAAGTCCGGTCATGGTGCAAAAAAAATTCCTCATTGTTTGCAAGTAAAATTTCCAGGTCCATCTAGCAAACCTTTACCTGTTGCTGTGAATTTGTATAAGTGATAGGCACAAGTTTGACCGAACGATACAACATGGTAAACCTGGTATGTATATGGTTGGAACTGAGCCTTGGACTTTTTGCTCAAAAATGTTAAGAAGGAAACAATTTTAGCATCTATATAACTCGCAGTGCTGTTCTGATCATTTCTGTGTAAGAAAATTTGTGTATGAAAATGTATTTACATATCATCATTGTAGTAGGTGAGTACAACTTATGTAAAGAGTTCTCAATATTTTAAAATTATATGAAATTTCAGTTGAGTTGATTTGAAATGCAGGAAAGCATGCTCTTCCATAATTTGCTTCCAATTTGTAAAATTAGGAATTCTTGTATTCTGTAATAAAATCTCACATTCATAACTCTGAGTTGGAGTCATAACTTTTGCCGATTTCGAGTTGAAAACAGGAAAAGGGCGCTTTTGTTATACCATATCCGAGAGCGAGTGATAGAGATAATTTTCAAACCGGCGTGGGAGTCATTTTTTTGTCGTTTGGGTCTTCTTTGTATTCAAAGAGTCGAGAAATGGAGTCGAAATCAAAATTTTAAAAGCCGGATCGGGATAATAACGAATTTGAAAGCTGGATCCGGAGTCAAATTTTAAACCTCAATTTGCCATAAACCTTTCAAAAATAACTTAGTCTGTTTTCATAATTTTATTTAGGGGTTTTCAGTTTCGTTTCAACAGACGCATTCGATCTTGATTTATGTAAGGATTCAACAGGGCATTTTTCTTATCAATCAAATATAAGCACATCAGTGCAATGGCGGTTTGTTGCGGAAAACTGCACGGGCAATAATAGTATTATGTTGTTACAATTAACGGAAACTAGTTTGCGTTAAGAGTATGAGTGGCATGGAAGCCTTCAGATATCGGGTTAGACTTTTTATTTTTCACTGAAATTCAGAACACATGGTTTTGTCATTTTAACCGAAAGTAATTAAAACGAACATTTTGTCAAAACTCAAAATGTTTCTAATTTTCAGGTGAAGTATAGGACACAGATGAAATTAACAAAAAATAAAAATAATAGCCATCTAGTGGGTTTATTCATCTTCCACTTTATTTTATTTTCATCAATTGGGGTCTTGGAAAAGTTTTTTTTAACAACAACGGTAACAAGAGTATATATATATATGTAGATAACATAGATATATTTCATGTCCAAAAATAACGTATCAGAGTCCAGTCATAACCGATACGTATATTTCACTTTTTAGCTATTCTACACGGAATTGAGTTGTGTGTTTGCCCTCAACATCTCTGTTGTCTGCTGTCTTCAAAAAAAGCATTAGTTATTGACCATTCAGAAATGGAAAACTGCACTGAAATTTTACATATCAGGAAAATCGCTTTTCCTATAACAGCAAAATTCGAAAGAGAATCGTATGAAAATCCTTCTGGATTTTGAATGAACTATAAATATATTTCTGCACAAGATCACCAGACTGCCACAGCTTCTCTGACAACTACGGAAAATCCTATAACTTCTATGCCGACCAGCGTAATGGCTACAGATACACCCAAGATTGATCCCAAGAAACCAATCTAGTGGGTTTATTCATCTTTCACTTTATTTTTTTTTATCTATTGGTATATTAATTGCTTAGAAAAGCTTTTTTCGACAACAACGATAACACGAATATATATATTTATATATAGATAACCTAGATAGATGTCATGTCCGAAAATACCATATTAGAATTCAGTCATGACTAATACGTATGTTTCATTTTTTAGCTATTCTACACGAAATCGAATTGTGTCGACTGTCACAGCTTCTCTGACAACTACGGAAAATCCTATAACTTTTATGCCGACCAGCATAGTGGCTACAAATGCAGTGACAACACCCAAGATTGATATGGCTGAACGAAATTTTATTGTGGCGTCTGTATTCGCAATACTGGAGGCGTTAATCATCATTGGCCTCATTCTGCTCATTATAAAGTAAGTGCAAAAGAATGGTTGTAATATTATTTTAACATTTCACATAATAAAAAAAATCCAAACAATTTCTATAAATAGTACAAACTTCCTGATTAATTCAACAGAGCAGTGTTTTATATTTAAAAAGCATTCAATAAATATTGCTTCGCGATGAACAAAGACAAATTAAAGTAATAGAAAAATAAAAGGTCACTTTTTGAAACCGAGGGGTACTGTCGCCAATTGACAATTTGACATTGGAATAAACAGCATCCAAGTGCAAAAAAGCAATTGACTTTAAAGATTTTGCTTATGCTGTGCCTAGTTCCATGTCCGATGGTAAATACCTGTTATCTTTCATTCTTAATCACGAACTGACATATCGCAACAAGGGTTGGTTGCTTCATACAGCATCTCCGCGCTCTCGTTTAAGTTGTCTGACTTTTCGTGTTATAGTTGAACTACGTATGTCTGAAGAAGTCTGACCTTGGTCAGACGAAACGTTACAGAAATATATTTGAGTTAG